TGAAGGCTGCAGGTCCCTGCGGCCGCAGCCGTGTCTGGTCCCTGTTGGGTCGGTGCTGGAGCTGTACTGGCACATTGCTCCGTGTCTCTCGCTGCCCTGGGATATGTTCTCCGAGGACCAGATATTGCTTCTCTGCCCATGAGGAACTGAAGTGATCATGATCACATATCAAATCCCTAAGTACCTTTTTTTCCACTTTTCTCTTTTAAACTTGAATTACTTTTTCTGGGTGCAGTTTCCCTTGTTTACTGGGCTGTATGTGCCATTCTGACCTGCTTAATACTTGAAACCCTTGCGTTCAGTCGCAATGCAGTGACCAGCAGGTCTGGCTATGTTGTGAAGTCTTCCAAATCCTCCCTCAGGCTCCAGGAGTGTACTTAGCACAAGCAGAGATTTATTTGTGTAACTGGTCAAATGGAGGTTAGAGTGAAATAAAACACACGCGTGTGCTCCTCTCGGCCTCCATCGATGCCGGGTCAAGGCTGGCTTATTTTTTCTGGGTCCTCCCATTGTCAGAACCTCTTGGGGATCTGGGCTGTGGTCCGCTTGCTGTCAGTAGTAGTTTACTTTGCTTCTCAGTAAATTCTCTGAGTTTGCAAACCTCCCCCAAGGCTATTGTATGACAGCATCCTTCATGTGATGGGTCTGATAGTGGAGAAAAAAACCCCTCTGCTTTCTTGTAGTCCAAACATTTAGCCCTTTCAATTATGTATGAGTGAAGTGTTCAAAGGATGCAAATCCTTAGAAGTCAGCTCAGGTGTCTCTTGTCCCCCCTTGCTCGCTACCCTCCCTGGTGCCTTATCATGGTGATGGGGTGAATTTGACATTCCCTGGATGAAAGACAGGGAGAACAACAGGGAGAAACCAAACCAGAGTTACACCAAGACAACACTTCTGGCTCGGGTGGTCCTCGAGTCCCAGCCTCTGCCAGGGGGGGTCCTCTTCTGGCATTCCTCCCAAAGCAGTCACCACTGCTGTTCCTTGAGACGAGACCATGGAGTAGGTGGACTTGTGGTCTGACAAACTATGGCCTTTCTTCATAGGCTAAACGAAGCTGATGCCTTGAAGCAAGGCAGCTCAGTGCCTAAGTGACACACAACTAACGCTGTTAGAGCTCACTGAATGGCTGTCGGCCCAGTTCAGGTTTCCCCTCGAGTCCTGACCCTGAAATGTGCTGAGGCAATTCCCCTCTCAGACGTCCCTACAGCTTGGGACCCCAGAATGACAGATACGCCTGGATCTGCTACGTGAGGTGCTTTGGGCAAAGCCCGAGGACAGGCTGGGGTGCGGTCCTGGAGGGGAGTGATTTGTCTCTTGGAAGGTCTCTGCCTTCAAAAGATGGATATTCAATGGCACGTGCCCCTCCTGGAGCTGAGCATCCTGGTCCTCTCCTGGCTCTTGAAGTTGCAACCACAACACTGTCCTCGAGCAGTGAGGTGACCCTGGAGGAGGTGGCTTGCCAACGAGCTGCAAGGGCCAGTGTTCGCATTCTTGTTGGTCGATGTGTCCGTGGCCAGGGTGCCGGTTATGCTGCTTTTGAAAATGTGGCTCTGGTGACTATTGTCTCCTGGACTTCCCAGGCCCAGTTCTCATTGAGCTGTTGGTTGAGACATTTGCTATCAGAATTCCTTTCCTTGATACCAGAGAGGTTGTAGATAAAAGGAAGGTGGTGTTAACCGTGGAAAAATAGCTTTTCCTTTCCACTCCTCTGTGACTGTAAAAGGCTTTATTCTGCCCAGAGTTTAGCTACAGGTTACATTTAAAGTGTTTGTCGAAGCTGAAAGCGGTTACACTGGTAGCTTAAAAGAAATAAAAGCAATGACTACAGATGGTAAGATAGGAGACAAAGCGGCAGCAGGGTTGTAACGGACTTATTTATTGCAGCCTGGAGAGTAAGAAGTATTACAGAGGACAAAATTCCTATAATGTTTGTATAAGGCTGTAAGAAATTGATTGCAGCTCAGATATGTTTTGTTACATGCTGCTGGGAGGAATCCGAAAAGTCATGCAACAAAGTTTTGAACACCGTGTTACTGCCCGTCCGTTTGAAAGCCTCACTGGCCACAATGAAAACATTTAATTTGTTCTTCTTGCCAACTCCAGTTGCGTTTTTTTCCAACTTCTGTGCCTTGCTGCTTGCAGGATTCAGGTTGTTCAGGCTGCAGTCCTTCGGGGTGAATCATTTCTGATTTTCTCAGTCATTTAAAACCAAAAAAAGAGCTCAGGAATTTGCAGAAGTGTGTTTCCCCACAGAAGTGTTTTCTAATAGTTGTTATTTGTAAGGCAGGATTTGTCCTCTTCTGTCATGCTGCAAGCTTTGGAAAAGCCTTTCCTAATGTTCTTCCCAATTTGTCCCACCCAATCTCATGGTCCCACTGAATGGTGCAGGGCTTGGTGCATGGCACAAGGTGCCCAGCAGTGGCACGGGGAGGGGGCAGCTTGCCTGCAGCCCCCTGCCCACCCCGGCGGAACCAAGCCCTGCGCTTGCATCGCTGTCCTGGAGGATGTTGGGGTCCTCTGGCGTCCTCGGCGATAATTTGGGCCCCTGCCCCTCCCCCTCTTGTTACAGCCTTGGAGCGAGTACAAGTAACAGATTTCGTAAAGATTCATTTGGGTTTTGGCGTTTGAGACATGTTACAGCCAGAAATTCCTCTCTTGCTGTCCTCCCACCTGCCCAGGGCAGTATGTAATAAATCTCAGCGTCTCTGAGCATCCATAAGCCACTGCTGGTAAATGAAGTTACTTTCACCGGTTTACTTTCTGGTGCTCCCTTCCAGTGAATGTGCATTAAATAGCTTTGCAGTTGGATCTTCTCTAAAGCAATGGCTTTTATGTCCCTTCAGGAATTGCATCCGGTAGTAGAATGAAAGCTGTGAAAATAAAACACACGAGCTGCTTGTGTCCGGCAAGACTAAAGACTAAAACCGACAATACAAGAGGCACGGGAGTGCTGTCTTCCCGTCTGCCACCTCGGAAGGTCCCCGGTCCCCCGGTGCAGGGGTGCTGGGGCAAGTCGGGATGGGTTGTATGGTAACTCGGCGATGGCTGTAGATGCTCTTTTAGCCTTTGTTTGCCAAAGTGTTGTTTGCAGAGCAGCCATGGTGGTTTAAGGGTTGTGAAGCCCATCTGCTGTTCGCTGGTGCGGTTTCAAATGTGGAGAGCGTGTGTGGGGACTGAGAGTGCTGACAGGCAGTTTCAGCACAGGTAGGACGGGTTTGGGCCAAGCTGTTAGTCAACACTTGGGTTGATGAGTTGCTGCAACTGTTTCCAGGCACACATCTGCCTGTGTTCTTATGTTACTTCAAGGAGAAATCCAGTAAGCTGGGCACAGGATTGCTAAGCTGCATGAAAGCAGCTCTAAAATTATTGACCTGCTAATTTGAAGCCATTGCAGTACTGTCACTGGCATCAATGAAAGCAGCACTTGCCACTTACTTTCTAGCACATCTGTGACAGGAGCGACGGAGAGAGGGATTTTAATTGCCATTTCTAGTTTTGCTGATGGTAGAGAATGGAAGGAGTCTGGACCTGACATTCTCTGAGCAATCATCCCACCAGATCTCACAGAAGATGATAGCAGCAAGCAAAGTGCCCAATCCCATTCACTCTGTTCATACCAAGAAGGAAAATCAAGGGAAGTACATCTAAAATAGCGGTGACCAGGGACAGTGGTCAAAATAATACGGCACTCAGATGTAAGGACTCAATTCTATTTGATATTAAGAGAATGGGGTTGAATGAGAATGTGTGTGCTGTTGGTTTCAGCACGTCTGGCATTTTGTAGTGTAGTTTTATGTGACAGTGAGGTGCAGTCTTAAGTTGCAGGATCCTGAATATGAGGATAATTTACTTGAAACGTCTTGAACAATAAAAAGGCGGTGCTATGGAAAGGCTGAGATTTCCACAAATCTGTGTCTGTAAAGATGGATTTCTGAGTTTATTTAAATACCAATAAAAGTGTCTTGACATTTGTTTTTATAATAATAAAAACATTACTATTATTATTATATTGTTAAGTGCTGAGTATCTTTGAGCCTTCATGGGCTGTAGAGGGAACTGCAAGATGTTCAGCACGTCTGATACTTCCTATGTACAAGGTCCAACCATGGATTTGAGTGCCTGGCACCTCTAGTAAACATCTTGATTCATGTAATGTAAGCTTAGGACAACAAAATTAGAATCAGATGCTGCTTTTTTTTTTTTTCCTTTCCCTGTTTCAGTCCTAAGCCGAAAGGTTTACTGTGGAATACAGCTGAATTGCTCGCTTTATCTCACAAAACAAATACGCCTTTGTTCCTCTTTCAGACTGATGTTTTCCTTAGCTCCGTGTTGTGACTTAGCTGTACCTTACCTTCTCTCTTGTTCTTTTTGATTTTTCTCGGAGCACGTGCGGTTATAACAGTCTCGAGTTCAGCCTTCACTGGTAGCTGACAGAGTTGTCCTTTCCATGCCATGAGGAGCTGCTGCGTGGGCTTTTGTGTTAGGTTTTTTGTTTTGTTTTCATACAGTATGTATCATTTCCCATTTGGACATGCTTTTATTGTATGGTTGGAAAAACCCTCTTACTTGGCATTGGCAAAGGAAGCAGAGTTGAAGAGGAAAGAAAAAAACCAAACACTTAATCTGCAGCATTTCATTTAATAAGCAGTATTTTGGGATTCCTTTTGTTACGTGCTACCTTTTGAACTCTGTAAACCAGCATGCAGATCTAATTCACAATAACGTCACTGTGTTGAGCTGCACAAGTAAACACTTTAAATGGGAGGAAGCACCTGCGTATCGCTATTGTCTCTCTGCTTCCATTAGCAAAAGTCTCTGGGCTGGTTCTGTTCAAGCCAAACCTTCCAGTGAGTGGAGATCCCCTTGGGGCTGTTTTTTTCAAAGCCAACCCTTCCAGTGAGTGGAGATCCACGGGCAGCGGCAGGCAGGACGCGACCCTCGCTGCCGTCAGACTGGAGGAGTGAGTGCGGGTCGGAGGACAGCCCGTCATGGAGGGGAGCATGGAGGGGAGCATGGGTGCGCGGGTGGGCACCCGCACACGAGTGGGCTACCGGGCGCTTGCACATCTCCTCGGCCTGGGCCCCGAAAGAGCGGGCTGTCGGGACTACCAAGGTCGGCAAGGTAGGCTGGCGCAAGGCTTGCTGTCCCTGGAGCTGTTGGTGAGGCTGGGGAGGCTGACGAACCCCAAGGGCTATGGGGCTCTCATGGTACATAAAGCTCTGAACTTATTGCTGTCGTCCCACTTGTTGGGTTTGTGTGACCAGATGTTTGGCTTAATTGCTTTCCTGTTGAGTTTATACATTTCTTATGGACTGGCACAGTTCCTTGGTGAGGAACTGGTTAAGGTGTCATGGTTATGAATTCAGCCTGTAAGAAGTTTACAAGATAAGCTTTAAAGCTGAAAAAGCTGGCTTGTATAGAAGAGCCTTCAAGGCTAAAATCTCTTTAGTTTACCCAAGACGGGTCAGGAGGTGACTTATCATGATCTAAAAGTATCTGCAAACAGAAGATCTTTGATGGTAGAGAACTTCTTTTGATCCAGGAAACAAAAGTGTAAAAAAAAAATGCAGTGACTTGAAGCTGAATTTGGCTAAGTTCAACTTAGAAAATAGTAGGATGGATTTTGTGTCTCCAGTGCTGTGTTAATACTGTGGCCTGTACCTAACGAGAAGTTTGGGGCAGCGTAGAAGTGGATGAAGTGCTTAATGTGGTTGAGATCTTGTTAGAGTGGCATCACTTTTGGATGTCTAGGTTTCCGATATCTACGTATTAGAGATGTTTGGTGGTGTCGTAGTGCCTGGAGAGTTGGAACTACATCTGAATTTATTGAGTGCTCATTTCCTGGTGTTTGAGATACCTTTGGTGAGATGCTAGTAATTATTTTATGAATCCTTCTAACATCAGTTTCCATTTAGGAGAAATTGTCTTTGTGCCCTCTAGTGGAAAAATTATTTATTTGGAGTCTTCCAAATTGGGAGAAGTTCTTGCAAAAGAAGTGGAATGTGTGAGGAAGGCCGTAGAGTAGCAGAGCAAGGCTGGAGAGGTGAGGGCCCGCAAGTGGCGGGCGGACGTGTGCTGTGCTTCCTCTGCTTCGGTCCTCACAGGACTGTGATGTTGATTACATACACAGACGTGTGGCTTTTTTTGGATAGGGGAGGTAAGGGAATGTGAATAGAGAAAGAAGAGACTATCCAATACTTGTGTCACCTGGGCTTGGTGAAATTTTTCTAGATAACCTGAGGAAAACCTGGTCTCAGCAAGCTCTGAAGCACTGGTGATTGCTGTTGATGTTCCCTGGGGTTGTGGGGCGGAGGGAAAAGGAGCAGAACAAAGCCCACGCCAGACCTGCAAAGGGAGGAAAAGGGAAGACCCAGAAAATGAAGGATCAAAGAGTCTGACCCTGATTCCTCAAAACAGTCCCACAGCAATATGTGAACAGCAGCAAGGAAGAGGAGGATGGGGACCAAAAGAAAATCTGACTTATAAGGAGACCAAAAAAAAAAGAAAAAAGGCAAATCTGTCCAACTTCCCTCTTTAATGGGATAACCTGTTAGTGCACGAGAGGGGCTGCTGGTGTGACTAAGGCTTAGGAGCAGAATTTCCGATCGTCTTGGTGAACAGCAAAACCAATCGGGCCACCAACATGGCGAGGTGGAGGGAAGAGGAGGGTGCGGTGGTGGCTTTGGAGGGAGCGGGAGCCGAACAATCAAATGCAAGCGGAGGAGCAGCGGGCTGGGCGGTGCGTGGTGACGGGGGCTGTGGTGGGTGGCCAGCTCAGAGTCAACAGCGTCCTGAGGTTTGAGGAAAGGAGTCAAACCTCTCTCCAGGTCATCGTTACAGAAGCACTCTGCGTAAGACAAGGTGGATAGTTACATCCTGCTGCACTGCGGGCAGTGCAAGGCAAGGGGGAACCGGCCACACTTGCGAGTCTGGCGTGACCTGGACAGGCTGGAAAGTTGGGCAGAGAGGAACCTGATGAGGTTCAATAAAGG